ATAAAGAAATAAAAAACAAATCCTCACCTCTCCCCAAGAAGAATCCTCCAATGATCACAATGAGAATGACAGGCAGCAGAAGGAACCCTATTCGAATGTGAATTGCTGAGGAGAGGAAACAGATGCCTGCGAGGGAGTCTGCCTCAACCTCTGCCAGGGCCATGATGGTGATGGTCAAGACTAGAGGCAGAGACCAGGCTATGAGGTGGAAGTATGCTGCACGACGCTCCAGTTCTTCACCACAGAGACCAGCTGCTGCAAAACAAGGTTATTGTGGTGTCTTGATGGGGGATGGTAGTGACAGCCGGGGTACAGGTAATGCTAGTTAACTATTCTTCTTTTTCATTTCATATTCAATTCATTGTGCTTTAGTATGAATGACTGATGCTTATCAAAGATGGTTACTTCAGTCTTGCATTATCAATGATCAGAAAAATATGCAAGTGTTTCAGCTCTTAACAAAGGACATCTTACCATATGAATAACAAAGGACATCTTACCATATGAATGCCATCAAAATAAAACACATTCTTACCATAAGACTTGAAGCTAGTGTGCAAGGAATATGCCAAGATAATCAGCCACATTCCCCCTGCCACCATGAAGTAATAAATGCAGACAAACACAACCACACATGACAGGTTTCCACCCGAACTGTTGGGAGAGAATGATGAATATACCATAATTTCTATATTTAATAGAGATTATGTACTTTTTTTATGTGACTACTCCTGACGATAGGGAAATTGTGAAAGAAGCAGAAGATATACTCTTCTGACACAAATGTACAGAACTATTTAATCATTTCAAAAGCATTCACATTTGTATCTGAGAGAACAGAACCGCTTTTCCAAAGCAATGACTCAAACTCTTCTTAAACACAGTATCAATAACAACACTTCACCACTACACTACCTGGGCTCAGCTTGTCGAAGAGTGCCATCTGAACGGCAAGTCAGGTCCTGACGTACCCCGGGGTGGAATTGGACCATAAAGCCTATGCTGGCTATCAAGAAACACCCGTTGATGTAGAAGATGATTAGCACGGGATATTTGTTTGCTGCGCGCCAGTCTATCAAATACGTTAGCTGCAGAGCAATAAAAGTGTGTAAGTAATCATAAAGGTTATTTGACAAGTGAAACTGAGCTTGAAAAGACATTAACTTTTCCAGAATTTTCAAATGCATAAACAATCTACACTTCATCCCTCATCCAGAAACAAGTTCCATTCCACTCTCTTTCATCATCCAACACATTGCATACTTTTTCTATAGCAAGAAACACCACCACCACTCCCACCAACTTACCACTGTCAGAGCAGCACAAGCAAGACATATCCCGCCAATTGTGGCAACAAACTGGTGCAGATCCTCATGCTCCTGTGGAGTGAAGATTGGATTTGCACACTGTATGCCGCATCCTTTAACGCCCTCATACCAAGAAGATTCCTCTTCTGTAGCAACGAGTGGTGGAACACACTGGCCAGTCGTGTTGAATTGGAGTTCCCTTGCGCTGTTCTGTGAGAGGTTTGGAGTGTTCAGTAACAAATGACAGCTTACTAAAATCCTTTAGTGATTACTAAAGGATTACTAAAACTAATATGCTCTCTTTGTCTACAGTCATGTGATAATTATTAAGATAATAAAAAAGATATAAAAATCTTGATGAATTCCCTCTTCTCCTTTCTTGTGCCTGTGTTCCCCCTTGTCATTTTTTCATCCTTCATTCTCCTGGCCTTCTCCAAACAGAGTCACAGATATACAATTATTAACCCATTCGCGCCAGGCGTCACGTATACGTGACAGGCTCACTGTGAGTTTACTTGTTTAATTGTTTTCACACATAGATGGCTACACTTGCACTTGTACTGTCTGTCTCGCCCGTTTACCCTTTTCTTTAATTTACGAAATTATTTTGCGATATCTTATTTTGTTGTTACTAATGTTTATAACATTATAGTAATTACAATGTTTACAATAAAAATAACCATCGATATTCTTAACACTAGTAACATTTTTCCGCCAATTCAAGTAAAGGTGAAATCAGGTAAGGCAGAGCCATCTAGTGTAAAGAAATTTCATTAAAAAATATAAAAAATGAGCACAGCATTTTCCCCATTTTTTGTTCATTTTTACCCGGCGTGAATGGGTTAAGATATCTGATCTGCTTTGACTATTTGAGGATTTTCTTTAACCCATTTCCATATCCTGCAAATCATAAACATGTATTCAAAAGATATATACACATACATACCTTACACTTATGTGGAAAATCTTCCTTGCACCTTAAATAAGGGGGCCAATCTTCTTCCACAAGACGGCAAGGACCTCTTGTGATTACGCACATCTCCTATTTGGGAAATACAATTGCATATTACTAAAAATCTATGAAAAATCTACCCCTAAGATATGTATAAATACTTTCAGAAAATCAGAGCAAAGTTATTTCTATTACACATGATATATATGCAAAAGCCATTTTTTTCTCTTTCTTCTCTTCAGATTTAAACAAATAAAAAATAATATCTAAAAAAACAACAAAACTTCACACTTTTTCATCTTTTCATTACAATTTTTTATTTTTTATTTATCTGTAGAGACAAGAAAGAAAATGAAGAAAAAATGATGATGATGATGATGATGATGATGATGATGAAGATGATGATGATGATGAGGAGAAGGAGGAGGAGGAGAAGGAGGAAGAGGAAGAACAAGATTCAAGGACAAACCTGAGAAGGCAATTGCACTGATGATCTGTCGCACCGTGGGAAAAATACAGCACAAAGGAGAGGTTGCACCACAGCCCAACATCTTGGGATATTGCGCAGGCGAGACCAAAACTCCAAATGTTCCTGTAAAAATGAATGAATCTAATTTTTGGAGTATAAAGAAAAATGAAGTATAATCCCACTTCAAAATGTGAAAATCAAATCAAATCACACGAAGATAAAATTTACATGTGGAATGATATTTGTTGAAGTATATGTATCATTCAGTCATTTACTGTATATAATCCCTATAACATAATCAACAAGAATTCTATATTGATTTAGCCTGATGAGCACTTACTATTCACATGTATTCAGCCGACCTATATCCTGGACCCATTCCCGATGGGTATGGCATGTACGTACATGTCATACCCACTGTGAGTTTATTTGTTTGATTGTTTTTACTCATAAATGGCTCTTTAATTTACGAAAATATATTTTTGCGTTATCTTATTTTGCTATTACTAATGTTTATAACATTATAGTAATTATAATGTTTATTATAAAAATAACACCATCAATATTCATAGCACTAGTAAAAAATACATTTTCCTGCCAATTCAAGGAAAGGTGAAATCAGGTAAAGCAGATCTATGTGTAGACATTTCACAAAAAAAAATTATAAAAAATGAGCACAGCATTTTCCCATTTTTTGTTTCATTTTTACCCGGCTTGAATTGGTTAAGATATCTGATCTGCTTCGACTATTTGAGGATTTTCTTTAACCCATTTCCATATCCTGCAAATCATAAACATGTATTCAAAAGATATACACACATACATACCTTACACTTATGTGGAAAATCTTCCTTGCACCTTAAATAAGGGGGCCAATCTTCTTCCACAAGACGGCAAGGACCTCTTGTGATTACGCACATCTCCTATTTGGGAAATACAGTTGCATATTACTAAAAATCTACGAAAAATCTACCCCTAAGATATGTATAAATACTTTCAGAAAATCAGAGCAAAGTTATTTCTATTACACATGATATATATGCAAAAGCCATTTTTTTCTCTTTCTTCTCTTCAGATTTAAACAAATAAAAAATAATATCTAAAAAAACAACAAAACTTCACACTTTTTCATCTTTTCATTACAATTTTTTATTTTTTATTTATCTGTAGAGACAAGAAAGAAAATGAAGAAAAAATGATGATGATGATGATGATGATGATGATGATGAAGATGATGATGATGATGAGGAGAAGGAGGAGGAGGAGAAGGAGGAAGAGGAAGAACAAGATTCAAGGACAAACCTGAGAAGGCAATTGCACTGATGATCTGTCGCACCGTGGGAAAAATACAGCACAAAGGAGAGGTTGCACCACAGCCCAACATCTTGGGATATTGCGCAGGCGAGACCAAAACTCCAAGTGTTCCTGTAAAAATGAATGAATCTAATTTTTGGAGTATAAAGAAAAATGAAGTATAATCCCACTTCAAAATGTGAAAATCAAATCAAATCACACGAAGATAAAATTTACATGTGGAATGATATTTGTTGAAGTATATGTATCATTCAGTCATTTACTGTATATATATCCCTATACCATAATCAACAAGAATTCTTATATTGATTTAGCCTGATGAGCAACAACAAAACGTCTTCAATCATCCAAAACAATATTTACCCTAGCAACCTGTTGGCTTGGGAGCCCCGTCAGATCTAAGGAGGTGTGTCTATAGGGTAGACGCACTCCAAGACAGGTTGTTTCTTCCAGTGGTTCACAACGAGCAGTTTGTCTACAAGGATCAACCTAGGAGGATAGTGACCACATTTGGTAAAAAATAATACCAACATAGAATTTAGTGAAATAGTATAAATAGCAAAGAAAAGTAAACTGAAAGAGAAGTAATGAAATACTATACTACCAAAAATTAAGCTAAAGATTCATGTATATCAACACATGCAGGAAAGGATTTAGTAATTGGCTATCTGGAATATGCCAAGCAAAATATACACAAATTTCACATGTTTAAGCAAATGATGAGTCGGAAAAAAACACAAATACTGCAACAATTGTAACTTACATTCTGACTGTCATTAAAGCTTGCCGGAAAGGCTCCCTCAGGTGAGAATGAAAAAGGGTCAACGGAAGCCCACTCATTCACAACAAATGTATCATCCGGGGTATCCGTTGGCTGCAAATTTACCTTGGATTCACTACTTCGTATCAAAGGATCTGTTTCTGAAACTCTATCTTTAGAATTTCCTTTTCCTAGACTCTCAGTAGTGATTTCAGTCTCTGATACTTTAGCGAGTGTGTTATTGTTAGGAGTAATGGCAGAGGCAGCCGTTTGAAAAATGACAGCTGTAATAAGCACCAATACTCCTACTAACACATGTGGTGGAGCATTCCCCATAGCCCTGTAAATCATAAAAGACTAATTAGATAATGTAAGTAACGTTTTTTTAAGTCTATCATGACCCCTTGTCCATAGGTCCATAGGGGAGCAAAATAAGCCCAGTTTCACAACACTGACTGGCATCAAACTGGCATGGTAAAGTTTTGAAGCTTCTGCACTAGGGGGGGAGGGGGATAGGCATGATTCCTGCTTCCTTGGGGAAAGTGTTAACTACTACTAATAATAGAGTTTACAAGCAGGTACAAAGGTTATTAATTACATTACAATAGTTACTATTCACATGTATTCAGCCGACCTATATCCTGGACCCATTCCCGATGGGTATGGCATGTACGTACATGTCATACCCACTGTGAGTTTATTTGTTTGATTGTTTTTACTCATAAATGGCTCTTTAATTTACGAAAATATATTTTTGCGTTATCTTATTTTGCTATTACTAATGTTTATAACATTATAGTAATTATAATGTTTATTATAAAAATAACACCATCAATATTCATAGCACTAGTAAAAAATACATTTTCCTGCCAATTCAAGGAAAGGTGAAATCAGGTAAAGCAGATCTATGTGTAGACATTTCACAAAAAAAAATTATAAAAAATGAGCACAGCATTTTCCCCACTTTTTATTCATTTTCCCCCGCGGCAATGGGTTAAACAGTGTCTACTTAACTGGCATGTAGCTTGTAGAATCTTAATAGCTATTTTTAGTATGTCAGGTTTTAAAGATCCATTTGTATGGTTAAAGGAGCTACATTTCAAAATATAATTACAGCTTCACATACATACTGGATTAGGTAAACAGCACACAATATATGGACTGCTGAATTCTACAGCATTTTTCTTGCCTCATTTTCCCAAACAAAAATGAAATATAGAATGATAAAAATAACTAAAAACAGGATCTACCATCTTTTACAGGAAGATCTGTGTATATGAATTAGTTCCGTTATGACCATTTTGGGTACAGTTTGTGGAACCTCTTGGCAGACTTTGTCATCAAATCTGGGAAGAGTGTAAGCTCTATTCTGCCAAAACAAATGTGGTAGAGGTTTCATTCTTTCTGTCGCAAAGCCTATGACACACAGAGCCATGGCAATCACTTGATATATTTATCCAAGTTCATAAAAAAGTCTTACAACCAATTAATCTATTAACTGTTTACCTTGTACTGTGTCCAAACTGCAATTCTACCCAATACAACACATTTAACCTTAGGCCTCTCATGTTTATACTACAAATCCAGCATTGCTCAAATGACACATATGCTACAGTGTGTACCCATTGCTATTCCAGATATAAGTCGTCTGAAGACGGGATAGCTATGACATCACAAGTTCCACAGTTGCAAATTTTACGCATGGCCATGGCAGGTGGATGTACATGAAAGTCATAAGAAATCCAGTTTTTGTTTATATTCTGGTGAATAAACATGAATAATAACTACTGGCATACAGAGTCACTTATGCCTTTCATTTAAATATTGATGTTTATATAAATTTGCTGTACAGGTTCTGGTGCACTGGCACAGTGCCTGAAGTCATGAAATTGGTCAGATGAGATCACACTTCTTTGACAACACTCAATTAAGTAAAGAAGGAAGTAATTATTGTATTACTTTCTCCTTGTATGACACAAGACTGAAACAACACCAACACAAAATAGAAATGGAAAATTACCCATTCTGCAGATGGTACAAGAATCAAGAGGAAACCATTGGACACATGATACTACACTGTCCGAGATTCAACTCCCACAATAAAATTAAAAGAAGCTCTTAGACAAGTTAATATACAAGTAAATCTTTTGATTACAGGGTAATCAACAATAATGTACTATATGTTGAGATAATCTATTGATATAATTTAAGAACACATAGCTCAAAAGAAAAGGATCCAGGGGATAGAGACAATTGTCTAAAACCCTATAACATGAAACAAGAAATGAAAGTAGCTGTGCCTCCTGCAACACCTCATCCCGACTCTGGAATACAAAGAATCTTCCAAGAATTTATGGCAGATGGAGGTTATGATCAACTGCAGGGATCTCGCAGGTTAGCATATTTTCTGTCCTATGCCCTATCTTGCTGTGATCATCCAGCATGGTCGTACACACCATCCTACTGTGAATACGTGGAGAATTCTTTGTGTTCCAGGGCAGGGGTAGAGTGCAGCAGCCCATTACAATAAAGAATTCAAGTAGTACACAGCTCTCATTTTCCTTATTGGACATAGACTCCTATGAATACATGGAGGATTCTTTGTATTCCACGGTGAGGGTAAGGAGAGGTAGCACCAAGATGGGTCACATTAGATATTATGGTAGTTTGTACTGAACTATGCAGTTAATGTTTCTTTATATCAGTGACAAGTGTGGGGTATGGGGGGGGGGGGGGTCCATATGAAAATTCCTACATTTATGAGTAGAGGAGGGAAAGAGGAATCCACTATCATTGTGCTCAGCTAGGTAAGGTCTTCAGAATATGAACCTAAAACTTGTATTATATTTCCTGTGTATGCAAGAGATAAGATACAATGGTAATCTATATCCCGGAGTATTTAAAACTTCTGCAGAACTAGGGTCTCACTTTCTTCCTAGTTAAACAGGAAACTCTAAGGTTATAGTAAGTTGTCATACACTAAACTTGGATCATTCTCTAAGTGTGGCATAACTATTCCTAAAGATTTTTTAAAAACTCACTGAACTGCTTAACATAACAAAGCACATTTCACGTTTCTATAGACACCCGCATATTCCATCACAATTTTGAATATTTCAAGTCTCGTAACATTGATTTACCTATAATTATCTCAACTTCCCTCATAAAGAACATGGTTTCATAATAAAAATTATACCATATCTAAAAAAGAAAGCATCTAAAACTCAAATTTCATCTCAGAACTTCTCTCACCAAAGAAAGAAAAAAAAAAGCCATCTTCAATTTCCTCATATACTTTCACACGACCTTTAATTCCTCACCACAAACTCTTTAATAACATCTATGCCTCACAATCACCCCAAATGAAACCGAAAAAGAGGTCATCTTACGCGTTCCTTGGGAGCATTACACTTCACATGGTTATTTCCTGAACACATTACTGTTTGACTGAAAAGCGACCACCCACATCGCCTTTGTTTGGAGTTCGAACCGGTGCGCCGAGATCGGAAGTGATAGGGCAGGTTTGTTGGATATGTCGATAGTTTTTGGTTCTTATTTTGTTATCGGTATTTTTATATAACGTAACTTAAAGTAAAGTATTAAATGTGCCGATAATATTATAATGAATTCTAATTTATTGAAGTCTCTTAGTGATCCCCTGAAGCCGAAGCCAGAGTTAGATTACGGACGCTCTTTGTTGTTGACCACCCGCATGCTGGAAAATCTTCAAAGAAAATGGACGAATATCAAGGCAGACTATTATATATTATTTATCCAATTAACCATGTAATTGTTCGTATTGTTTACATATTCAAATAATGGATTAATTCAGACACTAAATCCAAAAATGGTTTCACAATTGTGGTTTCCTTTTAAGTGGCATTAATGGTAACTTGTAAACTGAACTGGATAATTACAAGATCGATATTTGAAAGAGCTTCTGCGAGGGTCATGTTACACACGAACGTGAAGGATCATCTGGGCAGCCACTGATCGACATCGCCTTTTTCTGATGTGCAACCGAAGATAAGCAGCTCCTCTTAATTACCATTTAACGGGTAAGTGACGGGAAAATAAGCATATAGATTTGGAAAACATCACGAACGAAATTGATATATATTGTAAATGAGGTCACAATATATATGTATGCCATGAATGTGCATCATTCATGGGGGGGGGGGCAGAGAGAGAGAGAGAGAGAGAGAGAGAGAGAGAGAGAGAGAGAGAGAGAGAGAGAGAGAGAGAGAGAGAGAGAGAGAGAGAGAGAGAGAGAGGGGGGGGGGGGGGGGGGAGAGGGAGAGAGAGAGAGAGAGAGAGAGAGAGAGAGAGAGAGAGAGAGAGAGAGAGAGAGAGAGAGAGAGAGAGAGAGAGAGAGAGAGAGAGAGAGAGGGAGAGGGAGGGACACAGAGAGAAAAAGAAAAAGAGAGAGAGAAAGAGAAAGAAAAAGAGGGAGAGGGAAAGGGGGGAGAGAGAGAGAGAGAGAGAGAGAGAGAGAGAGAGAGAGAGAGAGAGAGAGAGAGAGAGAGAGAGAGAGAGAGAGAGAGAGAGAGAGAGAGAGAGAGAGAGAAATTGACAGAGATAGACAGCCAGCCGGATACAGACAGATAGAGAGAAAGGGGAGAGAGTTTTACTTCAGAAATATTTGAGTTCAAAGTCAGCCCATAAACATGCCTTTTACATTAATTGATGTTATCCGGATACTATAACCCCAGATGATAATTATCACTGTTTTAGGGCCAAAGATTTAATGAGATTTAATGAAAAGAGATAAAACAATAAACAGTTCAGCTGATTAATGAATATGAAATAATAAAAAAAAGGTTAGAGAGAGACATGAAATAACCCTGAAATAGGTCAAAATTATTATAAATCATATATCAAAATTATTATTATACATCAAAATTGTTAATAAAACACACTCAAGAGTCAAGAGTCATGCATAAATAAATAACCCCACTCTTTGTACATCTCTGCTGCATAAACTTAGAGGCAGGTTCGTACGTCCATCCAGCTGATGAAGAGAGGGAAGTGAAATATTTGGCTTTACTATATCTGACGGAAATAATGACTTTTTTTGTGCGTACGTGCGTGTGTGTGTTGAGTGTGCGTATATGTATGTATGTATGTAGGTGTGTATGTGTGTATGTGTGTATGTATGTGTGTATGTGTGTATGTGTGTATGTGTGTATGTGTGTATG